TATATCCAAAATATCACTTTCAGGCATTCTGCTTTAATTGATAACCCAAAGCTTGTAACATTTTTTTATTCTTCACCGTTAATTTTTTATCTTATTTGATGTTGCTGGTAGCACTTTAGTCTTATGACTAGTTGTGCTGATCCGAAGTAGCGGGTTTATATTGAATTTCAACCCCATCTCAAGACCCGTAACGTTTAATATGTAACACGATTGTCAATGCCTCACCAAAATTATCAATCGGATTATGATCTTGATCAACTAATTGAACGGTTATCAATATTTGTTTTATTCAATTTGTAATATATTAAATTTGGTGGTGACTGAATTACATTCGACCCTGTCCTTTCACTCGGGAAAAACTCATAAATCGAATGACTCTGAAGATGGTTGTTGAATGATCCTTGAGCAATATTACACATTACTTTTATAGAATTAATTGTGTTTAAATTTACAGCTTTTTCCGATCGAAGAATTTCAAAGTATGGCTTATATACTCGTTTTCCAAAACCGAATACAGGTGCTATAATATATGGATACTCAAAGTGTAGTATCCCATTACATTTTATATACGATCTGAAATCATTAGGATCAACCGTAATGTCGAATGTTATATTGGTTAAGTTTTTCCTATTATAGACATCTATTTGCTTCTTAACTCGTTGCTTAATATCTTCAATCTCATAACAACCCTCTTCCAATGTATTAAAACATATCATAGGATTATTATTGTTTTCATTATCAACTACTTGTATAGAAAATTTATTATTATTTTCATTAATATTTGGGAATGAATTAAATGACTGTAAACATAACAAAGCTATATCTGAGTCCTCGTAAAGGTTTATAGGTGGAAAAAAATTTACAGATAATATGGTAGCATTCCCAGTTAAACTTAAAGTAACTGACTCGTACATTACAAAATCTAAAATATAAATTTAATGATGAGATCCGTGACGTTTAATATGTAGAACAACTGTTAACGTCTCGTTAAAATGATCAATTGTTTTATTGTTTTGGTCAACTATCTGAACAGTAATTGAATTAATATCTGTTTTGTTTAATCTGTAATATATAAGGTTTACCGGAGATTGAACAACCTTTGGTCCTGTTTTCCCACACGGGAAAAACTCATGTATCGAATGACTTTGAAGTTGGTTGTGGAATGACCCATGTGCTATATTACACATTACTTTTATAGAATTAATTGTGTTTAAATTTACAGCTTTATCCGATCGACGATCTTCATGAAACGGTCCACAATCTATCTTTTTAAACCCAAAAACAGGTGCTATACTATATGAAGTATTAAATCGAAGTATTCCATTACATTTTATATACGTTCTAAAATCGACAGGATCCATACGTATACTGAATGTTAGCTGTGTTCCGTAGTCGTTATTAACTTGGGATAACTATTTTTCCATATAATTGTTAATATCTTCTATTTCATAGCAGCCGTCTTCCAAACAAAATTCAAAAACGCGAAAGTCTTCTTTGTTTGCTTTGGAGGAATTGTTTCTAATTTCAACCGGTTATTAGTTCCATTTATAATATTTGGAAATGAATTGAACGTTTGCAAAGATAACAAATCTATTTCCGAATCCTCGTAAACGTTTAGAGATGGAAAATAATTTGCTGACAAAATTTCTAGTCAAACTTAATGTAATAGATTCATGCATTGTAAAAATTCAAGACATAAATGACCACAGTTAAATGTATTGAAGTCTTGATAGTTGGAATAGTTATATACTATTTTGAACTGTCTGAAATAATGTTGTAATTCAATTGGTGGGGGTAAATCACCAAAGCTATCAAAATATACAACTTTGTCCTTATTTTTATAAAACGCTACCCAATGGCTTCCATCGCCTGAAGATATATCCAAGTTTAATATACTACATTCAATAGCGTGCGGTTTTTTAGGTAAGTTATCACGTGAAAAGACTCCACGGAAATGATTGATTTTCAACTTTCCAGTATATTTTATAATATCTTGAGACGAAAGCGGTCTGTCAGGTAGCGTGATCACCAGTTTTTTTTCTTAACCTATTCTTGTTTGATTTCAAACCGCTACCTTTTTTCTTTTTGAATTTTGAACCGCATTATACACACTAGCACCTCCAGACATCAAACTACCAAGTGCTGACAATCCCGCAAATATAGGTATTAAGGGAATTACACCTCCTGACTGTCTCGATGCTAAAATCAGTCTTTTACCACCATTCTTTTTCTTTAAGATTCTTTTTTTCTTCGCTGCTAGTATACCATTTGTTTTTATAGCACTTTTCCGTTTACAACCCATACCTATTTTTCTTTTAGCTTACATTGCGTTTGTTACTGCGTACGCAACTAATTTCTCTTTTCTAGATGTATCTTTTGCTTTAAATCTTTCCCAAGCACGATTTTCTAACACTTTATCAGCTTTATGTCTATCGTCTAAATTCTTACTCGTTGCATACACAATATCGTGATCACGACAAGCAGCATCCAATGGGTTTATTCCTTTATCGCCACGATCTAGTCTCTTTTTTAATTTCATGCCAGGACCACAATACTGATATCCTGAAACATGGGCTTCGAACGGGAGACTATTTATAAGGGAGTTTACAAATCCTTTACCAGTCTTGTTTGAATTGTACTTACGAGTTGAACACGCCATCTATAGCTGACTATAAATTGGAAATTCTAGAGTATTTATAAGAAAATAATATGGATTTGATAGAACATAAAGATAAATTGGATGTTACAAATGTAGATGTTCAGGTAGTAAAAAACCTTCACGACATGGTTCGTTATTACCCGATACTATACGGGCTATACTAGTTGGTCCCAGTGGCTCAGGAAAAACAAATATAATGTATAATCTGATCACACATGCAAACGGGTTAAGATTTGAAAATATTTATTTATACTCGAAAACCTCTAATCAGGAAAAATATGTTTTACTGAAAAAAATAATAGATGATATAAAAGGTGATATTTTTTTCATATTTACAAGCGCTGATAAGGTTATAAAACCAAACTTAACAAAGAAAAATTATATTCTAATTTTTGATGATGTGATATGCGGCCCACAATCTGTAATCAGAGAATACTTTAGCATTTGTAGACATTCAGGTGCCAGCTCCGTATTTTATTTAGCACAGACATATTCTAAAATATCAAAACAGCTTGTAAGAGATAACGCAAACTTTTTAATAATACTGAAACAAGATGATACGAATTTACGACATATATTCAACGATCATTCGTCTGCAGATATGGATTTCTCTGAATTTCGGAAAATTTCTCATTTATGTTTGAATCATAGCGATTATGGGTTTATGGTTATCGATAAAACTCGAGAAATGAATGAAGGAAGGTAAAGATGTGGTTTTCATACATTCATTAAAATAAAATAATTTTATGTGCTTATATAAATGTACCGTCACACAGTTATTATCTGCATAGTGTTATCACTGCCAGCCCTCAGTCGCATTGCGCAAAAGCGGTTTATTCATATTTAAAATAGAGTCTATACTCTAAAAGTGTAAACAAAAAAAATTCAAAATCACACGATAAGGTTATGTTTATTGTTCGGTGATTTTTTTGTAGGCGTTTTAATAAAATAAACAAAATTAAACTTTGTCCAGATCCACTACACTATGCACCGTGTATGCGCACTGACTGTAGACTGTAGTGTGTACTCACTACTCAGTGTCGTTATTTGGGGGGTGGCAACTGGGGAATTTACTCCAGTCTAGTATTTACATAAACCTTAAGTCGGCACATTTACCACCTAAAATAATATTATAATATTGTTTTTTAATAATACGTTATTAAGATATTATATATGTATACCTAATAAAAATAATAAAATAATATTATAAAAATAATATTCTTATTAATATAATAATATTATTCAAATATAAAAAATATATTAAAATTACCTTATATTTAAAATATTATTTAAATAATCTAATTATAATATCGTGTGATTTTGAATTTTTTCTGTTTACACTTTTAGAGTATAGACTCTATTTTAAATATGAATAAACCGCTTTTGCGCAATGCGACTGAGGGCTGGCAGCCGTCCCGAACCCAATTTCTCCCACTCTTGAGCTCAATCGTGCACGACAGTCACCGATCATAACAGTCCGACAAGTATACAGTATACACCAATTTCAAATAAATTGTCCGTAAATGGTTAGCGCACGATAACATCTTAAATTGTTGGTTAGCGTGAGAGTAAACACGTACAATATTAAGTTGTGCAAATTGGAATTGGCTGTATTTGGTTCACTACTCTATGCGGCGGTAGGTTGCGCGCACGTCGCAAACCGCTGGTTCTTGATGGTGTACTGGTGTATGCCATAGAGTAATATAGAGAGGCCAATGTCTCAGAAAAGTGAGGCGCAAAGTGTACTATACTTACAGGTTGGCCAGTTAGAAGCAACAAAATATTGTGTAATCATAAAAGAATAAAATATTGTAAATATACAATATAATATTATATAGTATGATGTAATATTATACCTAATACCTAATAATCCAAGACCGTGTCTAATACCTATACATCATTTTGTAATTTGAACTTTTCAACAAAAAGTAGGTATGTCGGAATGCGTAGTTCAACAATTAATACTTATAAACTATAGCTATATTATATTATTATTATTTATGGGATTAAAGGTTGTATAATACCGTGTCTAATACCTATACATTATTTTGGATTGGATATTTTGACCTAGATTCAAAAAATCAGTTATTTATTTATTTAACAATTTACTTAATAATATTAATAATACTTAATAGTAATAATACTGAATAGAAATCATAATGATAATAATAATAATAATACTGAGTAGTAATAACAATATTATAATAGTTAATAAATAATAATAGTAATACTGAATTAAATAATAATTATAACAATAAATAATGATTATAATTATAATAATGAATAATAATGTTAGTAACTATACATTACATTTTTGTTATACAAACACAAAAATAATAAATTATTGTCCTTTAAAAATAGTTAATTTATTATACCACATTCTAATGGAAGGTGTTTCATTGTGACTTTTCAAATTGTAGTTTATTTTTAAGTTAATATATGTTGATGTGATAGATTTTATTAGAAGAGTTATATGATCGGTTAAAGGATTTCTGGTTTCGCTACTATGAGTTTTTAATTGTTCGAATACATTTGAGTTAAATAAAAAGTGGCCTAAAACTTCAGTTTGAATTTTCAGTTTATTAACAGCTTTATGTGTATAGTTAAATTGTTTTAATGTTTTTTCAGTTTTAAAACATATATCAATTACATCGTTACTGGGATAAATTAAGCCACCATTATCACCTTTTCTATTTTTTAATGTTATTAATGAATTTAAAAAACATTCTTTGTCAGTAGCACACAACGCATCTTTACATGTATCACATTTGAGCACATTAGTAAGTTTGTGAACCACGAATCCAGAAATGTAAATAATAACTTCTTTAGAGAAGTTACTAAAAGAGTAATCACTATGGCTTCCTATGTAATCATGATCTAAAATAAATGAATTTATACTTCTCAAATTTTCTTCCTGAATAATTGCATCATAATTAAAACCAGGAGTATTGTTATTTAAAACATTCACTGGATCAGAACTAGAGTAATGCAGAATTCCAATATCTTCTAGGAGTATACAATTTCCTGTATTAAAATTTGTAATATCATTGATCCGAATTACTAATTTTTTATAGGCTGAACGGAATTGTCGAACTTTTGGATTATTGTTATGACCACCATGTGATCGAATACTTCCAAAAAACAGTTCGATATGGTCTTGACTTAATCTATATAATTTTATATGTTCTAACTGATTGGTTTTAATTAATGTAGAATATAATTGTAATATGCTCTCTAAACAGACAATGAATCCTATGAAACCTGTTTTGCGGCTGGACTGAAGTCCATGTACAAATATTCCAGGTTTATCTTCAACTTTAAGACCCTTGATATAGGTTTTGAATATTTTAGTAAATAAAATAACTGATTCTATATTTTCTTTACATAATGCTTTCTCATAACCAATGCAATTGATGGATCTCGAATTGCATAGCATCTGCATTACAAAACTCACTAAGTTTAAGAGAATTTTTGCAAAATTTTAAAGCATCTGCTACGGATTGAGTCAACAATTGTGTCGCAAGTTTCACTTTCATTTTTTGTTTAAAATAAAAGATGTGTTGCTTTCTCAACTTATTTGCTAGGTGGCAACCTTCCTTCTCCTGCAAACAGCATAGCAATTTGATGTATTCAAAATTTATTTCTTTTCCTTCAAAATCTAAAAATACTTTTTTCTCGCCAAAAGCATTTCTCACTAATTTTACCATGTGAGCTGGATCAAAAAGTGTTACAATGTTAGGATTGTTCTCACAACCAGAAGCAAAAGAAGTATTTAAAGTTTCTATATTATAATTACAACCTAAAATCTGAGCAGTATTTATATTACTTGAACAACCGTCAAAGGTTAAGCTGATTATTTTAACGCCGGTACTTTCTAAGACATGCAATGCATGGCGAATTAATTCAGATTTTTGACAACTATTTAAACTACGAGCTAAAAAATAAGCAATCTGCAATTTCCAGCTTTGTATCAGAAATACTACATGAAGGATTTGTCTCATTGAAGGGTAACACTCCTTCTACCTCTACATTGTTTACAGACAACTAAAAGAAAAAAACTAATTAGTTACTTAAATACAATCACATAGCATAAAACATTATTGAAATATTAATAATTAATAATTAATTATATTTGTTCATTTTACCAATAATTGATTATTGTGTGTATCAGAAATACTACATAAAGAATTTGTCTCATTTAAGGGTAATACTCCTTCTACCTCTACATTGTCTACAGACAACTAAATATATTACTTAGGTACAATAACATAGGTAGCATAAAGTATTATTTAAATTAATTTTAAAATATATACCTACCTTAATAAAACCTTTATAAAAATTAAAAATATTTGATGGCTGAAGATAACTCGAAGTTGGTATTTTTGTAGGCACAACTGAAAGTGTTACAGTTTCAGAAACTTTAACTAAAGTTCTATCAAATTGTATAATATTTGATGGATGAAAAGTACTGGGAGGCTCAGACAAAGGTGTCAATATTTCAGAATATACTTTTTTCGGCTAAAAATTATAATAATAATACTTACATATAAGTAATTTATATAATAAAAAATATTTATACTAATAAATAATAATATTAGTATATTGACTAAAAATGTAAGATATATGCATACCCATTTTATTCGATCAACAATTATGGATGGAGTGGCATGCCTCTTTAATAGTTTCCTACTTTTATTCAATATAAAACAAGATTTATCAAAATGAAGTGAACAAACCAAACTACTAATTGTCACATTTTCAGGATTTAAAAAGTTTTTAATTAAAAAATTGTTCCATTTAATTTTATCACTTTCATCTTTAGGAAACCTAGAAAACAATATACATATTATAATTTTAGTTTAAATTGCTTTAAAAAACTTTGTTTTGATCAAACTCAATTTTGAAAATGTTTAACTATAGTAACTGGAATAGTAACAAATGTTTAATAAACTTTCGTTTTCTTTACTTATGAAATAATAATTTAATATCTCCACATAATTTTAAATCTTTTTTATAAATATTACCAAAAAGCATCCCCCAAATTCAAAATTGTGACTATAATCTTACATGTGAAACGATATATTGGCAGCTTTAGAAGTCTGATTTTTTGTTCTTCCACATATTATACAGCTTGGCATAATAATAGTAGTTTAATAAACGTAGAATAATAATTGAGATTAATAAACAGCTTCATTAATAGTAACAGTTAATAGTTTAATTAAGTAATTACTAATTAACTATCAAACTATAAATTATTATACATTAATATTATTATTAATATATTTATATTATATATTATTATATATAGAACATTACTCTATGATAAAGAATTGTCTTATGAACCGCCGTTTTGTACACAACTTTACAATAATGTCCAAATGATTTAGTGGTAACACTGTATTTACAGACCTTTATCGGCTTTAATATTTTATACAGGCATAATACGTATTGGCCTCTCTATATTACTCTATGGTGTATGCGCGACGCCGAACGTAAATCTGTCGCGACGGTGGTATATTCTACCGCTATAGTGTAATTTACAGGTTATGTCGCAAACTCGCAGTACTTGTGTTTGTACTTTTTCATTGTTCTCAAGACGACTTAACAATTGGAATTTGGTTTTAACAGTATTCATATACCTTAATACCTACGTACTACGCGTAGCCAATAGCTATTCGAACACCATATATTTGTACTGTCGTCGTTACCGTTTGAAGTGTAGGTAAGTTTATTTCATGTTAAATAAGTGTTGTATTTACTATTTTATGGACTGCTGCAGTTACTACAGTTCTAAAGATTTGCTGTCACCATGTAAACACACCTTTATCCTTTTATGCTTCCATTATGCTTTGTCATTTTTATTGTTACAAAAACCTAATCTTAGAATACCATATGAGCAGTGGCGTCAGCATATATATTTACATATGACAATTGTCATAGGTAATTTTAGTAGGTAGGGGGTCACTTTTGTTATTCTATAGCTATTTTATGAAAATTTATTCAATAGACAACATACAAACTATACTTGGTGTATGGTAAAGTAATTATAAGAAATAGGTAGGTGTCAAAATTTTATGTGGAGGTGTCTAATATCATAGGTAAAATGTTGGACTTCGGCGCCACTGCATATAAGGTATTGTTACTTAAGTACTTTACATAGGTACTATTAGTATTAAAATATTTAGTTTATTAATTATTTGTATTATAAAATTAATCGTCAAGACGGCAATATACAATAGGATATATTTACTGTTTAAATTAGTTTTAGTTATTTCATATTTACATAGATACCTAGTTATAGGTATTTGGTGCAAATAGACAATTATTAAACTTTTAATATACCTACCTATTTAAATTATAACTATAAATTTTAAACCCTAAATTTAACATTTTATTGATTGGATAGTAACTATCAGGCAGTCTTCTAAAAAATATTTTTCTATACTCTGTCCCACGAGAGATCATGCCGGTTCTGCTCATCTCCCTGCGTCTCCCTACTGTCGAAACTGGTTACCCTATGACAGGGTGTGGCGTAGGGGAACCAGTTTTGGTCGGTGCGCGGCATGATCTCTCGTGGGACAGAGTATAATAGTTTTTAAATAAAGATATAAATATACCATTAACCAAGTATTTTAAATACAAGAAAACAAGTACTATATGAATAGGTACTTTGGTTTCATGCTAATGGCAACAATTTTTAACTACTAGAGATTATATTATGCTCATGTAGGTACCTATCATAGTTTTGGTATTTTTGTTACTATATTTCACTCCTATGCTGCACTGTAACTGGGAAAGATAGTTAGAACTAAACTACAAAAATATCAAAACTAATGATTTGGTTTTATATTGTTAATGATACCTATCATATTTTATAAGGAACTGTGTCTATAAATACTCTAAGTCATAAGGAGTTTATGGCATTTAGTTAAATCATCAAGACTAATTGTTTTATATGGTTATATTATCAGTCTTAAATTGTATTTAGAAAAAAAACAAAATTATAATGATAGAGGTAGGTACTCGGATAATTTACAAGACCGCCTGTAGTTTATTTTTTAGGTACTCTAGAATTTTATTCCTATACTTGTGTAGATTAATTTATCAATTCATTAAATTTGTTTTAAGATACCCACCTCAGTTTATAAAAAAAATAATCTTCTATAATACCTAAGTTACCAACGTGAAAGTTAATATTTAATATTAAGTATTTTCTATATAATAGTTTTAGTAGGTAATTAAATATATCTAGTAATTATCTTTCATGGCATACATTTAGGTATAAAGAAGAAAATGGGGAAAAATAAAAATATACCTCTTAGCCGTAGAACCAAAAAAAGACGTATTGCAGATCAAATATCAATAATGACTAGAAGTCTTCAAGCTAACCATCCTATTATTTCTTCAACTTCTCATAAAAGTCCAGAATTGATACACCACAGCTCAGATATTTCTGAGAATGAATTTATTCAATGTAATGAACTGCACAATATTTTACCAGATGATCTTATTTCGGATAATCAAAGACCTGCTTTATCTTCAGAAGACGAATTAGTCAAAACGAGTAATTCATTAGAACAATTTATTGAAAATGTGAGAATATGGGCTTCAAACTTTAAAATCTCAAACAATTCGCTTGATGCACTTTTAATTATATTGAAAGAACATAAATGTTTTCAACAACTTCCTAGAACTGCTAGGACTGTAATGCAGACAAAACCAATAGATATTAATAATATGCATATAGTAGAGCCTGGTCACTATTATCATTTTGGAATTAAAAAAGGTATTAAACGGTATTTACCTAATGAATTTGAAGGATTTGATATTAAAATTGTTATTGGAGTAGATGGACTTCCCATTTCAAAATCTAATTCAAACCAATTTTGGCCTATACTAGCCTATATTAGACCAAGTAGTGCAGTTTTTCCCATTGGAATATATTTTGGTAAATTGAAACCAAAAGATAGCTATCAATTTTTGGATGAAATGTGTAAAGAGGCAAGTGAACTTATCAGTTATCACAAATAGATTAGAAATAAATAATATAGTTTTTAATTTTTCAATTGATGCTCTATGCTGTGACGCACCTGCGAAATCATTTTTATTAAAAACCAAAGGACACTCTGCTTTTTATTCCTGTACTAGATGCCAAATAGAAGGAGAATATTTACAAAACAGAATGTGTTTCCCATATGAGTCACTTTCAAATGCTTCACCTAAACGCAGCCATAATGATTACTTAGAAAAAAATAAAGAAGAATTTCATGATGTATCAATTATAGCCTCTTTACCTGGAATTAATGTTGTTACTTCATTTTCATTGGACTACATGCATTTGATTTGCTTGGGCGTGGTTCGTAAACTTATTATGATGTGGATTAAAGGACCTGTAAGTGTTCGTTATCCATCGTGGAAAATAAAAGAAGTTTCCTCAGCTATGGGAAAATTAAAAGCACAGATTCCATGTGAGTTTGCTCGAAAACCCCGTAGCTTCGACGAAATAAGTCGCTGGAAAGAAACTGAGTATCGAACATTTTTATTGTACACCGGTCCAATTGTTATGAAGTCAATTCTCAAAAAAGATCACTGGAAACATTTTCTAGCTCTTAGTATTTCCATGACAATTCTTTTAAGTCCAGATCATTCGAAATTTTTATTCATCGCTCGAAATCTATTAGATTATTTTCTTAAACGCTATGAACAAATTTATGGATCCTATTTAATGTCTCACAATGTCAATGGTTTAAATCATATTTCTGATGATTATGATATGTATGGTCCTTTGGATAATGTTTCAGCATTTCCCTTCGAGAACTACATGAGACAGTTAAAAAAAATGTTGAGAAAACCTCATAAACCTTTAGAGCAAATAGTTAAACGTTATAATGAAACTTTTTTACTACCATTAACTGAAAATAAATTGAAGCAAAAACAAATATACTCTGGATTACATCAAAATGACCAAATAATTCAAAATAATATAAATGAATTGCAATTTAAAACTTTAAATTTGAAAAATGTGACACTTAAGACACATGTTGAAGCAGATTCTTATTTCTTAACCACAAATAATGAAGTAGTTAAACGTATGAACATTATTCGTTCAACAGAAACACATGTTATAAGATTAGTTGGCAAAATATTTTTACAAAAATATGATTTGTATCAAAAACCTTTTGAATCTTCTAAGTTGAATGTTAATGTTGTAAATTTATTAAGTAATGAATTGTTTGACTTTAGTGTTAAAAGTATAAAAAAAAAATGATTTTAATACCGTATTCAAATAATGGTCTCATTTCTATGCCTATTGTACATAATGTTAATGCTTGATTTTAAATTCTCAAGTTTCATGTGTATAAATTTATATTTAAGTTATTATATTGTATAAGTAAAATTTAAATTTTTTAATATTTTATTATAATTTATTGTAGTTTAAAACATGTCGTGGTCTGTAGTTGAGTTTACTACCGACAATTCATTGTATGTTGTACCATCTTTTTGGTTAAAACAAGATGAGTGTGCTTGGCCAACACAAAATGTATCCAAATTTATTACTCGACGCAAGCAGCCGAATGAAATAGAATTCATTTTTCTAGACCCAAAACAAATCGGTAAAGCATTAGGTATGTTTCAGATGGTTTTAAATATAATTGTTGCAATGGTTTGTTTATAATATTATTACATAACATGTTATACAGACTCATATGAAGATGCAAAAAGTCAATTGTCCATAGCAGAATTTACATCAGATATGTCATCAAGTGAAAATAAGAAGAGTAGAAAAGTCCGAAGAAAGAGGCCTTGTGATTCGGATGTTGATAGTATAATAGTGAAACACAAAAAAAAAGTATTGCCGAAATCTGTAAAAGAGAAGAGTTCTAATAACTTATGGAATGTATTATCCACTGATGGATCATCAAGTAAGTAAATTGACTAATATTGTATTATAAATTAATTAGGTGAAGATGATGAAATTGCAAATGAGAAAGGAGACCAAGCTTTAAAGACATTGTTACCAAACTGTGACCACACATCAATTAGTTCATAAATTACAGAGGTCACCACCATTCCTGCAGTCGATAAACATTTAGTTCATGAAAAGAGCTTTAATTGATTAAATATATTATCTGCTAAGTTAAAAATATATCTATAAATAAGGGGTGGGCAGTAACAAAGGTAACCTTGACTGATTGGACTTAAGAGTCTACTGAAAACATAATGTTAAAACTAGGTATTATTACTAAATTATTTATAATTTATTAAATTATGTATAAACTACACTATTATTATACTGCTACTTTTTCAAACAGTGTAAAACTGTAAACTAATTTTGGCAATACTAATACAATATGTGTATGGAGGTAATGGGCATCAATTTTAATCAGAAATAAGTATTAATATTATTGCTAATTCAATTTATTTTCATTGTTATAGACCCCCTATACCCTATACCCTATACCCTTGTGAAAAAATCTGTGTCCGCATCTGGGTGTACTAAAACAATCATTGATTTAATAAGGTCACTTTAAATAGTAATCGATTGTTTTGATTTAAATTTAACTGATTTCTCAATTATTATATTTGTTTGTTTTCAGCTAGTTTCGACGAATCTATAATAGTTGACCTTACTGTCAATGAAAATGAAAAGGTCAAATCACAAAATGTGTTAAGTCAAGGTAACATTAAAATCTTTTTTTTATTCTATAACTATTAAATGTTAAAATTAATGAATACTTTTTTTTTTTTTATAGATTTTAATATATTCTTAGCGGATGATTTTCAAAGTACTGATTTAAGCTACCTTGCCAAAATAAGTGTTGATATAGGAGAAATCAACAAAACATTAAACAGGCATGAAGATATTTTAAATACTTCATCTTTTGGAAAGAGAACCAACGAAAGTTCCTCTTCTGATATTAACCAGCATTCAAATTTACGATTTCCAATACAAAATATGACTGAACTTGAACTATGTGAAGAATATTTAACTGATAATACATTTAAATCAAAAATGGTAGGTTAAATAAAAATTAAAACATTTTTACAGTAATTTGTAACTAATGATTTTTTTTTTTTTGTCATAACATTATTTCAGGTAACACAATTAAGTTATCTAGCAATAAAATCGTTATCCAGTACTGTCAGATAAATAACATCTAGATTGATAAGTGATACAGTTGTAATGGGATTACGCAATATCATGTATTTGCTCATAAAAACAACCCAAAAGTGTTTTCGACTAAGAATACCACTTTCATAGTCGTGAGGTCCATATCAAGGACGACTGTACACGCACCGCTCACTTCAAAGGACGCCGCCACCATATATATAGGGGACAGCGAGACAGCCTGAGTAGATGTATCCAGAGACGAGAACAACACACGACTCGCTTAGCCGCCCAGCCATCACACACAACTTACACGGAGATTATCAATTTCGGAACGAGCTACAATTCGCTACAATCAACACTACTATTCTGCTTATTTTGTCCGGTTTAATACATTTGATTACTAAACTAATTTGACTATTATTATTTATCAAAGTACACCAGCTTTTGGATCCCTGAAGGGCCGCATGTAACACAGTTTTACAAGAATTTAGCTATATTGGACAAAAGAAGAAGAAAATATTTAATAAATTATTGATTTGCAATCTCATTATAGGTGAATTATTATTAAAAATATATACTCAGTATTATTTTGATTAAAATATTTTAATTTTTTACATGTTTTTACCTAATTATTTTTTGTATTGATTTTAATTATTATATATGCTGTAAGAAATATATCAAAGTATTCCAATGCTGTAAATTTAGAAATTGAAGAACCACTGAAAGTTTTTATTGCAGGTGCAAAGTCTAGAATAAAAATATAAGTGGATATTTTATATTATATTATACAAGTTACAATCTTTATACATTATACGTACTTATAATATATAATATGTATAGTTATTCAGATTTAGTACTATGATATTGCAGTTAATTATTCATTATTTTAAACCATTTTTTCAAATTTTAAATTTTTATTTCTTTAACTTATATACTTAATAATATAGATTCATATTCAGAATTTTCTTTTTGTTACAATATTAGTTTTCTAACTAATTTATTATATAACTTTTTCACAGTTTTGTTTTATGAATAAGTGTTTTTATTTAATTGTTAATATTAATGTATTATAATGCATACTATAATCTATATAGTTTTTCAAATTTTATAAATAAAATATTATTTTTTTTTGTTTATTTATGTTAGTTAATTAGTTATATACGCGTATAACTGATTCTGACTTTATATATATATATAATACGCAGAGATGTTTAATTTATTTTGTTAAAATGTATCGTTATATTTTGAATAAAGTAAATTCAAAATAAAGTGTTTTAATTTAACTATTTTAGGTTTTATTTTTTAACCTAATACTTGGTTAAAGAAAGTATTACAGGCAAATAAAATTTTGAAAATCATTGTTTTACTTACATAAACTTATGAAGTACAAAATAGTAAGCAATCCGATTAGTAAATATACAATTTATTCATCTGATTTTTTTATTTTTATTCAATAAATATAATATTATTTTAAAAATTTCTAATAATATTATAACATTTTAAAAATAACATTGTTAATAATTATATAATATCGTTATTAATATATAATTTTATCAAAGTTTGCTCAACACAATTGCATTATTATAACATTTGTATAATATTATTATAATGATTTTATAATCATTATAATAGCATTATGGAACTATTAAAATATTTAAGATATGATTATTTATTCATAATAATAACATAACAAAAATGTTATTATAATATTTATATAAATATTATTTAATCATTATAATAATACTATAAAAATGTTATTTTTTATAATGTTATAAGAACGTGTTTGTGTTGGGCAAAATTTGATAATATGATGTATGAATAACGTTATTGTATTAACAAGCTTATTTTTATAATGTTATAATATTATTTTAAATTATTAAAATAATATTATTTTAATATTATTATAATGTAGTTTTGCTATCTGGGAAGGAGCCCTTGAAACCTCAAAATATGTTAACACTTTATTCATGGTTGATAAGCCCGATGTTTTATCTCATCTATATACAGCAGTTTTCTATACCGTGGACAGTCGCGTAATACGCGATGTTAGTGATAACGTGTTATCGTTTTTCCAAAGACGTTGTAATAACTCGAAACCCAAACAAACATTTTACCCATAAGAAATATACAGGGAATAATTTGGAAATTAATTAATTAATTAAAATAAGTACATTATGCACTCAATTATGAGTGCATATTATTCACCGTAAAAAGTGGAATTATAAAGTTATTCGATTCATACTTAAGGGGCCGTTATAGTAAAAGTAAAACGTATACAACGCTCCAGAGATGGCGTTGTGTTCCATATCGCCGCCGTCTCGGCAGGTCATAACCACGCCCATTGTCTACGCGACGGAGTCCACGCGTACTAGTCGCGGGAGAGGTACATCATTATTTCACGGACGGTCGTGAAGAGCATATTTTTCGTCAATGCAGTTGAATGCCGCGGCGTAGCGTGTTCGATATTTTTATGTCGCTCAAATATTCCTAAATTTCTCGTAAACTAAATTATTGATTAAACATGATGTTTACCTAAATATGTGTATTATCATATCGAGCATAACAATATTATGAAACAATATAATGTGGTTTATACTTCTCAGGTTATTGAGAGGATGTCAGCGCACTATTTGTTTTGTGTCTCGGGCCTACGCGCCACACAGACAAAACGCATTAACGCAGAATCATTTATTCTATGTTTTTATGTAATCTTAGAGTAAAATCACCCATTACAAAAAAAGATAGAGAATAATATTTTCAAGGGAATGACATCGATTTTATATTTTATTGTTATTTGACTTTGTATACGACTTTCAAAATAAACAAAAATATGTTGTAAATTTAAATTACGTTAAATTGTTTTGAGACAATATTTAGACAAATCGATGTCATTCCCTCAAAAAAATTATTCTCTATCTTTTTTATAATGGGTGATTTTAATCTAAGATTACTTAAAAACATAGAAAAAATGATTCTGCATAAATGCGTTTTGTCTATGTTACGCGAGGGCCAGAGAGAAAAAAATAGTGCGCTGAAATCCTCTCAGGAGGGGGGAGGTTCCTTAAAAGTTTGCCTACCTTTTTCAAAAAAAAAAAAAAAATTTTACCGGAAAGTCAAATTAAATTTTTATTTGAAGTTCAAATGTTTGCATGCAAACAATCATTTCTCATGATGACGTAGCGATTTTCTTATGTTGTTGTAAATCAAAAACGAATAACTGTAGATACATGAAAACTTCACTATATATTAATATTAGCATTTCCTATACACCATACAATTTTAAAAATATTTTGACTCTTTTTGAGCTGTTTATGGACATTTACAGCTTTCAATTTTTTTTAGTTTTTTTTTCTATAAATATCAATTAAGTTTTATCTGTTGGGCCAAAAAGTGTAAAAATTTAATACAAGGCTCCTGATATATTGTTATAATAGCAGATGAAAAATATTAAAAATACATAGGCACAGTGTTTTTATAAGGATTTAAAGATAAAATTTTGACGAAATATATCAAATTTAAAATTGAATAATTATTTTGTAGTTACAAATTTATAAAATGTTCAACTTTTATATCTAAGGATTGAAAATTTAAAACAAGATTCCACGTAAGTAGTTAATTCTGTTATCAAAAAGTCTAAAAAATACAGAAGCACAGTTTATTTTTATAGTCATTTTAAGTTCAAATATGGACAAAATTACATAAAAAAAAACCTAGAATAACTATTTTAGTTATTTTGTCGTGATTGTGTAATATTATTCGTGGGTACTTGAAACTTCTAAAGTACACTATTATATATCTATGGAGTATGGACTATGATAGTATCAGGGTTTGTTGTTGACGTACAACGCATTATAAGTACCTAATGGATATTGTGATATGATTAATTTGGAATTTATTATAGGTACCTATTTTAGGTCAATTTTTTTTTTAATACCATAGATAAGTATATAATATGTCTTATACTTAGACTGACATACCGTCTCCGCGCAGAATCATTTTTATTATACAATGATATTATATCATTGAATTCAAATTTAATAGCATCCATTATACAGTGACCCACTTGTAACCTATTGTACAGCAGAGCGACTTTTTTTTTTGTGTCTGTCGCCACCTTTTAGGAGAGTAAAAATTATTAGGTTTTCTTCAACAGTATCTTTTCTGATAAGAAAGTGAATCTAGTTGGTACTTTGGAGGTCAAAAGTAAAAAGGTGGGTAAGTGGATGTCGCTCTGCTGTACAGTAGGTTACAAGTGGGTCACTGAATAATGGATGCTATTAAATTTGAATTCAATGATACAATATCATTGTATAAGAAAAACGATTCTGAGCGAAGACGGTATGTCACTCTAGGTTTAAGACAAATTATATACATATCTATGGTATTAAAAAAAAATTGACCCATAATAAATTCCAAATTAATCATATCACATTATCACAATATCCATTAGGTACTTATAACACGTATACATCAACATCAATAACAAACCCTGATACTATCATAGATATATAATACTATAATATTACACTTTAGAAGTTTCAAGTAGGTACGAATAATATTATATAATCACAACAAAATAACTAGGTTTTTTAATATGTAATTTCTTCCAAATTTGAACATAAAATGACTATAAAAATAAACTGTCATTATATATTTTTCTAAATTTTACGGCTTTAGCAACAGCATTTCTAAGTCGATAAACATTTCCATTCAAAGCATTTCGAAATTCACCAAAGAATTTTCTGTTTTTTGCAATATCCCTTAATTTATTGCAAAAATTTCTGTATAAATGGTTTCTACATTTTACCTTTTGTACCGTAAGATCTTTATAGGGTCTTTGCTCTAAAATTTTTTTAAATACATTACTGTCCCCATCTCCTATAAATTTAGCATACCGAATGCCGTACATGTCTTCACTAGTTTTAAAACCTTTAACAATAATAGAAGCTTCCATAGCTGAAGAACTTTGGCTATCGTCCCAGTTTTTTAAAACAGACATTCTCTAATGGTTTTTTATTGGAATTCGATGCTCTGGCGCAAACAAGACAGTATTTGTTTCGAACACCCATAAACAATACTTTCTTGGTTCGTTGACCAATTATAGCAGCCTAAAAACAATTTAATGAGAAATAATTATTCGAGAATATTTATTATTTACAATCTGTACATAAGTATATTGCATATTAAGTAAGTTTGATCATACAATATGTAGGTAATATAATAATCAGGGTCTCAGAAGTTTTTATATTTGCATGTTTTTTTTTTTGGGCTATTAGATTTATTGCTAAGTAAGCTTGAATTAATTCATGACACAATACTTATAATAACTATAAGTGTATACATAGTACATTTTTAGTACTTTCTATGTGCATTCATTTCTGAGGCCTAAACTAATAATATTTATAGTTATTTAATTATTTCAATTTAACTTACTGTTCCAGAAGATGAATTATACATAGTTCAATAAGATCTCTTTCCCCAACTGCCATCGCATATAACTGTTAATAAAGGAACACCATCTTTATCAACATCGCCATTTTGTATAGCTAAAGCTTTTTCCTCCATCGCTGAATTTAGCATGATCTCAGAAGCAACTTTTTCAAAATTGTCCATCACTTTATTCTCATAGACTCTATACGTACTAAAATTCATTACTGGAATGTTTATAGCTGAAAATATTTGTGAAAGGTGACTATAACCTCCTCCAGCTGATAGGGTACCCACAATCGCACTCTCATTGACATTTATTGCTCCCGAACTTCCATAATTATCTGTCTTAATAGACTTATGATGTCCACACATCTTACATTTAAAGCTGATCGTAATTTGTAAACCAGTTCTTTTTTCAGATATTATATCCATATCTTTGAATGAACATCCAAATAATGGTCCATGATCACAAAGGTAATTTTGTATATCACGGATAAAAGTAAAAATATCCACTACTCTGCGTCCTGACATTTCATGCAATTTCTTTGTAGACTTTGGTGTTAATATCAGTTCAGTATCCATCTCGACAAAAAGTTCCGAATTATTTACTGTTTCAATTGAATCTTCAGTTGATGACATTGCGGATTGGATATTTTTATTCAACAAACGAGGCGGAGTTTCTTTAATTGATAGAAAACTGTTATTAGTGTTATTTAAACTAGAACACGTTGAATCTACTATCGATTCTTCGAGCATAGTGACGGATCTATCATTATCAGGGGGAGGTAACGGTTCGACTACATTACTTTGACCGGCAATAGTGTATAATTGATCAGGGTTGTCAATGCTAGACAAATAAAAAAAAAATGTATAGAATACAACTAGATTTTGACTAGGGTTGCAATACTAATATTATAGTATGTATATAATATTTAAGTATAATCAGTCTATAATATTATAAAAAGGAGGTCTAGTGAATTCTGAGCGGAGTCTGTATAAGTCTAGGATGTTTTATATTATATTTATAATTTATATAAGTATTAGTAATTTATTCATAATACCGTAGCCGGTAAGTTAAATTAATATTAAAAATTACAAAAAAAAAAACAAAAATCGTTATTATTCGTTATTTAATATGCAATTTCGTCTAAATGTTAACTTAAAATAACTACAAAAAAAAACTGTGTTTAGGTTTTTAAGATTTTTTTTTAGATATATTGGTTACAGAATTAAATATTTACGTGGAACCTTGTTTTACATTTTCAATCCGTAGCTTTGAAAGTTGAACATTTTGTAAATTTTTATAATAACAAAATAGTTTGTACATTTTCAATCTGATAAATTATATCAACATTTATACTTTAAAAGCTTATAAAAAAACTTGTCATCTATGTATTTTTAAGTTGATATTGTAACAATGTGTGAGGAGTCTTGTATTCAATTTCAGAGAATTTTGACTCAGCTAATAAAATTGTATTGACATTTATAGGAAAAAAATAAAAAAAAAATTGAAAATTGAAAATGTCCGCAAACGATTTGAAACGAGTTAAAATATTTTCAACATTTTATCAAGTATAGAAAATTATAAAATAAACGTATAAATCGTATAAATTTCAAGTGTCTACACCGTAGACTCTACGGTTTTTTGTTTTTGAATTATAACAAAATGAGAAGATCGCTATAGATAAATGACAAATATCCACTGTGAACAAAACGCTCATAAAATTTAATTTGACTTTCTTGTAGGCATTTTTTTGTGATAAATGTAGACAAACTCATGAGGAATCTTGTATTACATTTTAAAATCTTAGATTTGAAAAGAAAATTTTTTATGAATTTCTAACTCAAAATAATTTGCAAATTTTCGTTATTTTTACGTATTTTGTCAATATTTGAACTTTAAATGCTTATAAAAAAAAATTATGACTGGATTTTTAATTTTTTCCATCTGGCTTTGAAACAATATACTAGGAGCCTTCTATTAAATTTTGAAGTTTTTTTAACCAACAAATAAAATTTTATTGATATTTATAGAAAAAAAACTAAAAAAAATGGAAACTGAAAATGTCTGTAAACAGCTCAAAATAAGTCAAAATATTTGGAAAATGTCATGGTGTATAGAAAATTCCAATATAAACATTCAGTCAAAAGTTTATGTCATACTCTTATTTATTTTAGAGCTACACCAAAAACCAAAAATTGATTTAATCGAAAATCGATCTTGCGTAAAAATTCCCATTTTCCATATTTTTTTTTGTTTCTTCCAGTGCTTTTGAAAACTACTATAAATTTTTACTTTCGACCCGCTATTAGTACAAACTAGATTCACTTTCCCATCAAACGAAATGTTGAAAGTTGAAGGAGTTTCATTGCCCCGAAAGGAGATGACAGACAAAAAAAAAAAATACTTTTTATTGTAAAACCAATACATTCACTCCGCTCAGTATCTAAAAAATACATAATTGTAAAATTGTAATTAATTAAAAGCTTTCCTCAGAATCTATGAAATCGATATTGACAAGAATATTAAGAAATACTTTAGACCAAATATTTTAAATTAAATCAAATTATTGTCAAATATTTAAACTACAATAAAAAAAAATACTATACTTTATTTAATTATTATAAACAAAAATAGAACAAAATATGTCAGTTATTTTACAAACATTAATTTTTATAATTTGAAAATTGTGTACATAACATAAAATATGTACCTAACAATAATTTAGAAATGACTTACCTTTTGGTTTGATTATATCGCTTTAAAATCAGAGAACGAGTTAATTTTCTCCGACTCACGTGTTTTATTTTTTTTGATTTGTTTGCCATCTTATTAATTTAAGAAACTTAAAATGTTGAAAAAGAATAAAAAAACAAAGGTACTAATATTGAAGTTCGGAACCACTAACCGTACTTCATATGTTAGCAATGTCACAAACACGAGCTGAGACTAAAATATTAATTATAATTTGTTGAGCAACTCGCTATAATGTTTTATTATATAGTAGTATAAGTATATATATTATTTATGTATAGTACCTATATTAACAATTAACCTAAGTGTATTCAATTTATATAATATCAATGTAAATTCTTCGAAATCTTATTATATTTATTAGTTTGTTTTTAGATTTTACAGTAGATCCTATAGGTATAGTGTTCGATAAATGATAATTGAGGTATTGGAAATAATAATTTCATGACCAAATAGTTTTCGTATTAAAACAATATTATAATAATATAATATGTGCGTGCCGCGCGGCTGCGATAAGAAAACCGGGTTTGTCACTGCAATTACGAGAGGATGCGAGGTAAGGTTATAAGCTTTATTCTTGTACACTATATGTTGAACACTGCCGCTATAGCCATCGAAGCAGCACATGACGGTACCTAAATTCGAACGTAAGACACTAAAACACGTCTACGGAAAATAGTAATAACTTGTGTTTAAAGTGATTTTAGAGAAAAAACACCTATATAAAATCGAAAGAGGACAATATTTTGGAGACAATGACATATCCATTTTAAAATAAATTTACTATTGAGCTAACACTTTGACGTTTAAAACATAACATTTTTCACATTTTTAAAGTGTAATAACTTTTTTAAAAAACATTATTTTAAAAAACGGATATGTCATTATCTCCAAAATATTGTCCTCTTTCGATTTATAATAGGTGTTTTTTTTTCTCTAAACCCACTTTAAACACAAGTTATTACCATTTTGCGTGGTCATGTATTCGTGCTGAAAAATTGTGTGTGTAACGTCCCCTTAAATCTTTGGTAATTTTAAATTAACTAAAGAAATAAATTTGGCGGGAAAAAAGTTTAATTACAATTAATGTATACTATAAATATGTAGGATATAAATAATATGTAAATTTTGCAATTCTACATAGGTATTATATTCCTTCTAGTTTTTTATTAATCATTAAGAATGGATTATGGATATCTATGTATCAATATTTAATATTATGATGTAAATTATTATTTATTTTAGTCAATAGTCATTACACATAACTCAATTATTGTCTCAAGTCAAAAGCCTGTTCTTCTTTACTTAATTGTTGTAATAATTTTTTATTCAAAAATATACTGTACTTTATTATTTATAAAAATATTAATATGGGTTATTGTTGGGCGGTTGGATGTAATCATCACAACCAAAGAGAAAAGTGTAAATTTTTTACACTTCCTAAAGATCTAAAATCTCGTAACAGGTGGTTAAAATTACTTAAGTAAGTATTTTCCTCCCATTTATTATAATTTGTAATACAAAATAATAATATATTTCAAATGGTACCTAATTTGTACTTAATATAAACAATTATAGACGAAGTGAACAACCTGGTCGTGAATGTGTTGTTTGTAGTTATCATTTTAAAAATGGACATAGAATTAACGGTCCGGAGTTGCAAGACCACTTAAAAAAGGCTTTTGACAATGAATTTCCCCAACCTCCCCAAAAAAGAAGAAATCAAATAACCAAGAAAGTAACCATACTTACAGATACGCAATAATGCAAGATAAATGCAGAAAATGCATTAGACGTTGATAAGTAGGTACCTATGTGGCTATGTAAGAAACTTTGTTATTGAAGAATATTAATTGTTTTATTATAATATGTCTAGGAATATCAAATCTCAAGTTGAAAATTCAGAAATTCAAATATTGAATTTGAATAAAAAGATGGATCTGAATTTAGATTCAAAGTTAGTACTTTTATTATTAAATTCATCTATACCTTTTCAAGTAGATTAGATATTTTATAATGCTTCATGTACTAAATGTAGGTGTATAAATATATATATATATATGTCCTTAAATTCAAAATAATTTAGTAGTTATTTATACATATTAAATAATGTATCCTGTTTTGAAAGATAAAACAATTACACTCGGGGTTTAAAATTGTTTGAAAATGGTTCCTAAAACCAAAAAAATATTGATTTTGGATGAGAATTTGATTTTATATTATTATTTTTACTAATTTAATCTAAATGTTATGCCACTCTTCAAATAGATGATACAATGTTCCTATTATTTAATTTTATAATTATTATTTCTAATTTCACAATTTAATATTTCATTGAATATTAAATTATTATATTGGTATTATTTTTTTTTTAGATCTGTTTCGGTTCAACCTACACAATCAATTCCAAGTGTAACAGTATTAGAAACTGAAAATTATTTCCTTAAGAAAGAAAATGAAGAATTGAAAAGTAAAATGTATAAGCTATCCGTTACATTTTTTTATGAGACTATATGCAACAGTGATGAATTGGTTAATGTTTAATGAACTAGATATACTGGATTACCAAATTCAAAAGTTTTTAATTCTCTTTTTGAGATGTTTAAAGAAGTAAATTTAAATTATTTGTTGGTGTGGAACATAAAAACTATAAGCCCTCTGGATCAATTATTATTAACATTAATGAAACTAAGATTAAATTTACCTCATTTAGATTTATCCCAACGTTTCAATTGTAGTCGTGCTATTATTACTAACATATTTATTACTTGGATCTATACTATTTATGAAAATTTATTTCTAAAATGTATGAATAAAATACCATCTAGGAATAAGAACAAATTGTGCTTACCAAATGCTTTCAGTTAATTTACTAACTGTAGGATCATAATTGATTGTACAGAATTTCCTACTGATGTAACTAGAAAGTCTATGGTTATTCAGAAATCTACTTATAGCAATTACAAACACTACCATACATTAAAAGCTATAATAGGGGTTGATCCAAATGGTGTTGTGACATTTTGTAGTAATCTATTTCCAGGCTCAACATCTGATAAAATTGTCACTTTACATAGTGGTTTATTTGCACAACTAGAAGAAGGAGATTTGGTTTTAACCGACAAAGGGTTCTTGATTAGAGATATACCTACTACTGGGGTCCATCTAAATATACCACCATTTCTTGATACACCATAATTTACTAAAGAACAAATTTATTTAACTGAAACTATCGCTCGAGCTCGAATACATGTTGTGCCATACGTAGGATTAAATGTTATAGGATTTTAAATCATATTCCTACATTATTATTGCCTCACAGTGATTGTATTTTTAATGTAGTTTCTGCTCTCACTAATTTAAAATTTCCATTGATCAAAAAAATTCAAGATAAAATGTAAATCAATAATAATAATTATTAAAAGTAAAGTACAGAAGTACAACTTATTTATTAATCTGTGTTATATTTAGTTACTGTTAATATTTTAATAATTATGAAACAAATATTTGTTTTTTCTATTACCTGTATACATATTCTTACTTAATAACTATTAATTTTTCACCAAAATGTATGGAATATAATGTTCTAAATAAAATGATTTAATAATTTTAAAGTTGTTTGACCAATTTGTATCTTTACAGATTTTAACTATGATAGTTTCGTCTGTTGTCCACACAACCAAAAAGCATCTACTTCTCTTGGTCACAAATGTCACAAAAGCTGTCCTTGTATTTGGTGCCAGTATTTATGATGCTTGTTGATGAATATCTCATTGTTAATTTTATAAATTATATATGATTGATCTTCAGTTATTGCATCAGATAATTTACATTTTCTATATTTATATGGACACTTCACTTCAACAATATCATTTTCACCAATAAGACCATCAGGTGACGCACCAATAAATCCACACTGGTGTAACCATAGTCCAGTTGGTTGAACTATAATATTTTCAGTTTCTTGTAAAATATTTATTGCTGTTGATTCTTTAGCCAGACCCCACTCTATTCATGTTTAATGCTTCCATACTCATTATTCAATGATTTTAAAAGAGATTTTGGTATACTTTTTTTTGTCATAGTTGATATTATATCTCCAAAATTGCTAGCTGTTAGTCTATGTTTCTTATGAATAAGCCATAGATCGTTTTTAGCTTGACCTACAGTTTCTTGAGCAATTTTTAAAATCATTTCATTAGTGACTAAAAGTTTTTCTGTGAGAAAATGTTGTTTATTTTTTGATGTTATGTATTCTTGTGAAAATAAAACTTCTTCAATTGAGATTAGCAAGCAGACTCCTGGTGGTGGCATACGAGGTTCAGGTTTTAATAACCACATTACTCCTACGAGGTAATCCAATACATGCTAAACTTTGCTTGAAACGGTCTATACTATCATCTGGAATACTATTAGTTGCTGTATATGGTTTTTATGGATAAATATCTTTAATGCTTTGAACTTTATTACCATTATTTGGTTTTCTAGTATTCCAAGTACATGGCAAGTCAGTAGAGCTGAAATTGTTATGAACGAAAATACATACAGCAGCAATGTGGTGACAAATGCCTTGTCCTCTTGTACATGTACAGAGAGAGTCAGATATTATGTCATCATTTAAGACTATCTGAAAAAATAGTGAATTTAGAATGGAATAGGTACCCACATAGCTTAAAAATTAAAAGTATTTTATATTGTGTTTAATATCATAAACATTAAACTAATTTATTTTATAATTTATAGTAACTAATAACTATGCACAGGTACCTAAATTATATTTATTTTAATTTAAAATATTTATTAAAAAAATCCAAATATAGAGAAACTATGGTATTAATTGTTGTATACTAAATTAATTTCAATATTAAAATCAAAATATCAAATATACTGTAAACACTATATATGCCTATATAATACTATATTGTTAGAGCTATAAATTAAATATTAAACTTTATTAATATAAGAGTTAAACTAATTTAATACCTATATATTATGTCTATAATTTTTTAATATAAAATAACCTGCACATGATATGTGGTTTGTTTCATACTGGCTTTAACATCACCCTTAATAAGTCCGTCGGGATCAAAATTAATTTTTGCAATGTATCCTGCTAGAAATGACAGTTCACCTCTTTTCAACTGTTTTTGATTTATTTTGAAATAATTTGATATAGTTGAAAAACTTAGAACACTTTTTTGGGCCATGCCTAATGATTTCCGAATACTACAAGGAGTATAATATGACGCAGAATGCAGTTATGACATTTTTACTGTATAAACCTAATAAAAAGGATAAACACCAATTTATAAACCACGATAGTTGATAACCCGAAATATAATAATTTGTACCTATTCAAGGATTGGATGTTTAAAAAACAAAGTTTTATGTTGTATATATTACATTGTTATAGTATACATTTGTAATTAAACTTTTTTCCCGCCAAATTTATTTCTTTAGTAAATTTAAAATTACAAAATAATTAAGTTTTAATCGAATAACTTTATAATTCCATTTTTTACGGTGAACAATATGCACTCAAAATTGAGTGCATAATGTACTTATTTTAATTAATTAATTAATTTACAAATTATTTCCCGTATATTTCTTATGGGTAAAATGTTTGTTTGGGTTTCGAGTTATTACAACGTCTTTGGAAAAAAGTTATCACTAACATAGCGTATTATAACGTATTATTTATTTTATTTAAACATAACTTAACAAAAAAAGAAAACAGCTTATGTGGTAGTAACTAAAAGTGAGAGTTGAGAAACCGTCTTTAAACCACTACTTTTATTCTAATGGTTTTCTTTTTAATGGTTTTATTTTATATAATCTGATGACATATCTTTAAGTAACATGATATAATGTTCATAGTAATATTATAAAGCTATATTATCATTACAACGACACATTGTTATTATTCTATTTTTTTATTTAAAAAAAAAAAGTTTAGCTGTTAAATTCAATAAATAACAATACAAAAATAGAACTTACATAGCTTGTGGAGATTGAAGTATTATTTCTAAGTATGATGGCTTGTTAGAGTTGTTTTGACTGGTTGCTATTTGTTAAATAGGTCTGCTAATCTGCTAGCTGACTGTTGGTTGGCGAAGAAGGCTGTTCTGCTGCTGACTGCTCTTGGAACTGCTGTTGCTTGAACTGATGACGATAAGCTAATAAATTCTGTGTTTTATACCCGAAAATAGCCCCTCTCTGTCCACATCAGAAATTTTTTTTAAATGGATTTAAACATTTTAATATATTCCATATTCTGCTTTCATATTATAATGGCATTGACATGAATGTAAATTATTTTAAATCCAGTTTGTAATAATTTACATTCATATTATAGTGTAATATGAAAGCAAGTTATGTTAGCAACAATTTAAATTCATATAATGTAATTTGCTGTTGTACCTCTATGCACATGTTTCGACCAGTTTCTGTAAGGTAAGGTCATTGCTATGGAAATTTGAATATTAAATTATTGAAGTAGTGACAAAATCTGTGTATAAAAGACAGAGGGAATTCACTAATATTCACCAGTCTTCAAGATTTCATCCCAGTGTTATGTATGGCCCTTCAGGGATCCAAAAGCTGATGTACTTTTATAAATAACAATAGTCAAATTAGTATAGTAATCAAATGTATTTTATTAAACCAGACAAAATAATCAGAACAGTCAGGTTGATTGTGTAGTTGAGTGAATTGTAGCTAGTTCTAGAACGATAATCTCCGTGTAATTATGTGTGATGGCTGGTGGCTAAGCGGCTCGCTCGGTCTTGGCGGCTCTGGTACATCTAATGATTCTAATGTGCATTGGGCCCCTGGCCTCTATATATACGGAGGCGGCGTCCTTTGAATTGAGCGGCGCGTGGCATGCAGGCGACCTTGATATGATATGGACCTCACGAATAAGAGTGGTATTCTAGTCGTAAACACTTTGGGTGTGGTCATTGATTGCCTTTCACATTCCTGGTTGTTTTTATGAGCAAGTACATGAAATTACGTAATCCCATTACACCTCCCTACCAAAAAAAAGATTGTTAACCTTTAAGGGTTAAGAATCTTTAACATCGTTAATTGTTAATTTCAACATGGTTGAATTACATTGTAAATACATTGTAATTACATTGGTATCAATTTTTAATGTCTTCATTATTATTAGTATTGTTTTTTTATTATTCTTATTAAAATTTGTATATTGTGGTTAGTAAAATAAAACATGAACATAAATACATGATTTAATTAAATAACTAGTGTTAACAAGAAGGATTAATAATCTTTTAATAAAATAATATATGCACCTGAAATTATAACATTATAAGTGTTCGAAACTCAGCGCTGTTACTTGCAGACCCAGCCTAATCAGCCGCACCGGGTGAGCGAGCCGTTGGCGTTCAAAGTACGAACGCCGATAAGCGCCGTTGAACGAAAGCTGCGCGCCCGTGCAACCGGTCCGGTGTTCTCAGTAACTCAGTACTTCGCGGAGCGAGCGGATGACAATATCTTGCCTGGCGTGTAGCGTTTTGTCGTTGGCCACGGGTTTGTCCTCGTATCCGCTCGTCCGTTCTTTATGAGTACACGCTGTGTAAAGGTGCTGTGCATTCGAGCTTAGCCTGAAGTGGGCGCTTAAAACCACTGCCGTGCGTCGTTTACGTCAATATAACGCGTCGACGTTGCCGCCGCCGGCTCCCGAGAGACCGGTCTACTGGCCGCCTCACGTGCAGCCACTATCCGCGCGAGTACACCGTCGGTCAAGGACGTCACCCACCTCCGCTCAACTGCTGTCGTCGTTCGGTATCGTGCATAATTTTATTGTCGTTGTGTATTATTAAACCTACTAGCGTTACCTATATTATCACGCTCTAGTGCGAGCCAGTCTGTTGTCATTATTGTTGTTGTACGCTGATACGGGGAGACGTCCCCGTCAGCCCATTGTTTTTTATTGTTATTAATTATTATACTCAAACTCACCATAATATACAGTATTCAAAGATAGCCACCTAAATGTGGTCTATAATATATATAAGGGTTTAAGGGGGCTCCAGCGTATCATGTTTTAAGGAGTAATATTTAGGCAATTCACATAACATGAATATTTGGGCTATGTCTATGTGTGAGTAGTAAATGAACATTAGTGTGGGTAATCCATTATCGCGTGCCACGGAATATCGGTCGACAGTATTACGAATTCCCAGAACTACGTATAATTAAAATGCTATAAAAATGACTAAATATGTTCAATTGCGCGCGTTATCTTTTACTATTATATTACCTACTCACTACTCGGCTTTCGCAGCAATTCGCAAAAATGTACAATTACATTATACTACACAAGAGAGTCACTTTCTTATTTCATAGTTATGATTATGAACTATAACCAAAAAATGATTTGACAATCAAATGAATAATAAAAACATTAATTTCAATTAATCAATTAGTTTCAATTTCTCGTAAATATTATATTTATTCATTCAATATAAGACTGTCTTTTAAAACTTCAGATAAAAAGTATTCTGTAAAAAACGTTGTTAGTTGAGACTTCATATTTTTATCCCAGAAATCATCGTCTTTTTCAATTTTTTCATACATCAAACCTGTACACAAATAACTTATTTATTATACATTTTAATTAGAATCCTATTAGTTCAAAACAAAATAATATTACCTTTAGGTGTCCAGATACAAAAATAACAAAACATTTTGCGTGTTATGTGCAGTTGACCCTGGACTTGATAAAAGTAACTATCATTTCTTTTTAGATGTAGTTGACCGTTTTCAATAGTGCAACTTTTTATTTTTTTCATTAAAATTCCTTCTTCTGGAGTAAAACTCTTAGCAGACGCTGGACATTTAATTTCGACGAGACTATCATTGTCTATTAGTCCATCGGGAGACGCCGCTAAAAATTGTAAATTTGCATCTACAAATAAACCTGCACTTTCAATTTTTTTTCCAATTATTTTTTCCAACTCTTCTTTAGCCATATCTTCGTGTGCAATTCCATATCGCGTAGCAGCATTACCACTAAAAGTCCCATAAAACATTTCTTTTATTACCTTTTCGCGAGACGTGGTTTGGCGCATTTTACATAATTTACCAAACACTGAAGCAGTGAGTCTAAAAAATAAAAATTTATACATTTTAAAACATTCATATAAACTTATTATTTTGTTAAAAAATATGAAATATCTACCTTTTTTTTCGCTCCAAATGCCATTCATCACATTGATGTTGTCTTTTAGTATTCATTTCTAAGTCTATAATTTGTTTTTCAGTTAATTTTAAATTTTCCATGAACTTATTTTTTAACTGTTGGATTTCAACATCAGTAAGTTCAGAAAGTGGGTCATGAGACACATTTCCATAGTTTTCATCTGGTCCTCTTATTGTTGTACATTTTTTTCTATTTTTTGGTCCACTAAAAAGACATCGCCGTCGTTTTCGAGTTTCAGCTCTTACTATATGCCTTTTAATATACATTTTTGTAAATCTCCCTGGGCTTTTATTTGTTACATGTTTGTTAAACAACGAAAGACGGTTTGGTCCTGAATTATATGCAGTGACTGCTGCGCTACACCTTAGTTGATAAGACCCTTTCAATGAAAAATGTACACGTTTCCCTCCGACATATTTGGTTAAAATTGAATTATAAAGTTCAGCTGAATTGTTATTATATCCATACATTAAACTTTCGGTATGATAAGTTAGAAGATTTCGGGCTCTACAAATATCATCCCAAACACCAAAGATTTTCAAATCGGGTACGATGTTTTCTTCTCCTAAAACATATATAATACAAGCGTCAAGAAAACCAAACAATAATTTAAGAAAAAACTGAGAATTTGTTTTTTTATTGTAACTCTAAAAATATAACCGTAGATGATGCATCACAGAATGATTATATTAGCAATTTATATGCTCCATAATATTTTCAAAATACTGCGATTATTTTTTAACTATTTATAGGTCAAAAATCTTGAAAATGTATTATAACCGTCCTCATAAGTTTTTGTTATTGAACATTAAAAAAAAGCCGAGCATACGTCTACAATAATTTTTTATGAGCGCCTAAAGTTAAAATGTTGATAAAATTTATCAATATCACGAAAATTGGCATTTTTTCAGGTTAGAATATACATATAACAATTTTTCTATTTATATCTAAGTTTTAAAAATATATTGAAAAATTCCCCTTAAATTTTCCTACATTTAACAAAATATAATACAAATAAGTTTACTGGAAAGTCAAGTTAATTTTTACGTGCGTTTGAAGTTACATATTAGGTATATATTCACTCGTAAATTAACTAATTCTTATACAACGATTTTCTTATTTTGTCGTTATTCAAAAACTATTAACTTGAAATTTATATATTATGAGTTATTTATAGTTATTTTTAAGTTTTTATTCTATAAATCATAAATGTCATACAAACATACAGTACACAAATAAAAATTACATACCTTTCTTTTGACCCTCACAAAAATACGATTGGCATTTAGTGTGGTCTCCGAAAACATGACTAGGTCCGTTTGTTATATCTGCTTTGAGTAAAGTCAGTGTTGCTTCATATGTGCGGTCTGTTTGTTCAAGTCTTCTATATTTTATCGCTTCAGTGACAGCATACCGAAGCCTAAGTAAGCGATCATGAACGACTTTCCGATAACAACCAGGTATGACATCTCCTTTATCATTTTTTCTTTTCCCACTTATATCTCTAAGACGATTTATGTAGTTACGTAGTAAATGATTAGTACATTCTACTTTTTTTATAACAACATTTGTACCATATGGCTTTTCCAATCTTAAACGTTTCATAATACTACTGTCCAGGGCTTGAAACCGATTTTCGATACCGGTTTTGAATACCGGTTTAAACCGTTAAAAACCGAAACCGAAACCGAAATCGGAAAAAAATAATACCGGTATCCAAAACCGAAACCGAAATCGGAAAAAATCGATACCGGTTTCCGAAACCGAAACCGAAATCGGAAAAAATAAATACCGGTATCCGAAACCGAAACCGAAATCGGAAAACATGAATACCGATATCCAAAACCGAAACCGAAATCGGAAAACATAAATACCGATATCTGAAACCGAAATCGAAATCGGAAAAAATAATACCGTTTTTTGAAACTTAAGACGAAATCTTAAGAAATAACATGATATCCGACGGAAGTCGAAAAATTATAACATTAATATCGAACATTTAAAAAGTTCTATGCATTTAAAATAAACCTATAGACTATAATTGAATTTCTGTTTAAAAGCTATGAATAATATAATTTATAATGCATATGGTAGAAAATAATGTATAATAAAATATGGGGTAATTGTTTACTCCGTGCGCAAAACGAGAATTAAATTAAATTAAATTTTTTTACATGGAGTTGACATAGTATTTTTGTTGGTATATTATTAGTTTTTATAAATTATCATATAAATATTATATATTATTATTTATTTTAATAGTTTATAATATTTATATTGCCGTTTCCATGGCGCGTTTATAATAATATTATTAAAAATTATTAATTTGGTCCATTTATTAGACCTGTAGCCTAGGTCATGTGCTATGCCTTCTTTTTTTTTACTTAGTTTTACTTAGTTTTTTACTGGATTCTAAAATATTATTTCGAAAGAACCTACCTATATAGATATTTATATTATTATGTATACTTTCTGAGTTCTGCAGTAATACAATTGACATTAATAATGATTAATGGTGCCTAATATATTATATTATTATAATTAATATTTTATAATATAATAATATATTATTATGTAAGTAGGTCTAGCTGCACTGGTGCAGTAGTCTTCGTCTGCGGGCACCCGTATGTTTGCATAGGTAATTTCACAGGGTATATAAATATTATTACACGCATAATATATTATTATTACACGCAATATAATAATTATTACCTATATTTATATATTATATATTATTTTGGTAAATGGATTAATCGTATAGTCGTATTCTAAAACAGAATACTCAGAAATACGCCATAATAAAAATTGTATAACAATAATACTATTATTATTTACTATATTATAAGCTGTCGTGTTTTTCTGCCGCCACAAACGATCAGAAGACAGAAATAACTATGTGGCATAATTTTCCTACATTAAATTAACACAATAGCCAACAATAAATTATGAAATACTGAGTCAATAATTATAGTATAGTTATAAATAATTTAAATAATTTATAATTTATTATAATACATTTTAAGGCCTTAACATAATTGTCTGGGTTTCCCTAAAAGCCGTCGACTAAAAAATGTGCTCCCTACCAACCCACCACCAACCATACTCTATTGGATTAATATACCTAATCTAGATTGGTATAATATAATCAAGCTGTGATCAATTTGATTAATGTGGTGGGTGGGACACGCATGAAGTTAGCCCCTCATTGAGAAAATAGTTTCAACTTATAAACGATGAAGTTACACAAACTCTTAAAAAATTAGGTCGCAAATCATTTGGAAAATGTGCTATGAAGTGGAGAGGCTATAACTAAATACGTCATAATTACGTATTCATTCCAGTGTAAATATTATCATTGATTGCAAATCTTATAGTACTTGTCAGGCAACCAGACGCTAAATCGTACGAAACGCAATGTTTGGCGATTGGCAAGTAGGTTCCTACGCCAGTATTTTATGTCATTATAAATTATTATAAATACAGGGATTAAAACCGATATTCGATACTGATTTTGAATACCGGTTAAAACCGTTAAAAACCGAAATCGAAACAGAAAAAATGAATACCGGTATCCGAAACCGAAACCGAAATCGAAAAAATTCAATACCGGTATCCGAAACCGAAACCGAAATCGGAAAAAATCGATACCGGTATCCAAAACCGAAACCGAAATCGGAAAAAATTGATACCGGTATCCGAAACCGAAACCGAAATCGGAAAAAATTGATACCGGTATCCGAAACCGAAACCGAAATCGGAAAAAATTGATACCGGTATCCGAAACCGAAACCGAAATCGGAAAAAATCAAAACCGGTATCCGAAACCGAAACCGAAACCGGAAAATTTTTTTTCGGTTTCAAGCCCTGCTACTGTCACCATATCCTTTTTTATAATATATTCAATAATACAACGTATAAGTAAATGAAAATATTTATGTAAAAAATAAAGTCACTTACCTATTAACTGAGAATATATAACATTATGCATATGCAGACTTTGCTTGAACCCTTCAACAATAATATCGGCTTCCATCGCGGTTGAGGCCGAATTCCAATTTTTGAAACATACATGATCCTGTGCTATTTCGTCACGGTTTTCAGCTAATTGACATATACAACAATATTTGTTTCTGACTCCACAAAATATAACTTTTTTTGTTTTTGCACCAATAATACAAGCCTATAAATATCACGTAACATAAATAATTATTCATATTATACCTATATATTATATTATATTATACTACTATTGTATTTATTATATAATATAGTATAATAATATAATAATATAATATAATTATTATTATAGATACATGTTTTATATTATTAGAATATATTTAATTTTATATGCTTAGGAACTATGTTTTTTATAATATGTAGTTTATTTTTTACTTACAACTCCGGACAGTGCGTTGTATTTAGTTTTGTAAGATCGCTTACTCCAAGCGCCATCAGCGACTACTGCAATTTTAGGTCGTCCTAAATGGTCAACTTGACCATTTTCTATCGCTAATCGTTTTTCTTCTTGTCCCGCTAACTGCATTTCATTCAATGCTATGGTGTTCATATGCATATACATAGTATTATGAAAATCTTGATACGTTCTATTACACATATTGGGCATATTTAATGTCGCAGCAAATTCTTCTAATTGACTATAGCCTTGTCCGGTATTAACTGTAGCGCTTACTATAGCCATATTAATATTAACATTTTTACTGTTACAGATCTCATCCTCATTATTTATATTTTCTGTAATGCCACATACTTTGCATTTAAATTGAAAAGTGCTGAGATATCCCTTACGTATTTCGTTTAAAAACTCCAAATCACGGAAAGTACAATTAAAACCTTGATGGTGAATTGATTGCAGTGAACGAAATAGATGTTTGATATCTACAATTCGTCTACCTTCAAGTGTTTCCCACGGATTAACTTTTACGCTGATTTCATTTTGTGAAGGGTATGAAAAAGAGTTTTCTAAATTTCTTGAGACATTCATCGGGGTTTTTTTTTTTTGGTGTGGCTAGAATATTTGTAGTAATCAATGTATTTTCTGGGGTTGTGGAACAAAATATAGTCGAAGTAGATGGTCCCACAATTATTTCATTTGTCTATAGTTTAAAAAGAAGTGTATGCCATATATATATATATATATATATATATATATATATATTTAAATTAAATGTTTAAAACAATATAAATAATATTTAAAAACGCGTGCAAATTTTTTTTTTGATTAAAATAGACAAATAACATATGAGGAATCTTGTATTACATTCTCAAATCTTATATTTAAAAAGAAATTTTTTTATGAATTTCTAACTCAAAATAATTTGCAAATTTTCGTCATTTTTACGTAATTTGTCAAAATTTAAACTTTAAATGCTTATAAAAAATTGTGACAATTAATTTTTTTTTCTGCCTTTGAAACATAATATTAGGAGCCTTCTATTAAATTTTCAAGATTTTATATCCAACAAGCAAAATTTTATTGTTATTTATAGAAAAAAAAATATTTTGAAAATGTTATGGTGTGAAGACAATGCTTATATAAATATTCAATCAAAATTTCATGTATCTACTGTAATTTCTTTTAGAGTTACACCAAAAGCCAAAATCGATTTTGTCAAAAATCAGTTTTGCATAAAATTAACCGTTTTTTTTTTTAATTTTTCATTTATTTTTCACCACGTTTTTGAAAATTATTGGGAAACAGCATTGTAAAATCAATACATTAATCGCTCCGCTCAGAATCTAAAAAAATATTTACCAGAACTTTAATTTTTTACAAGCATTTGAAGTTCAAATTATATAAAATGTGTGCTTTTGTGTGCTATAGAAAATTTAACTAAAGCTTATTTATAAATATTTCATATCGGAATCAGAATCTTTTTTTTTATTGTATTTGCGCGTAAATCCACTGAAGTTTTTAATGTACCTTATAACGTTATTCGTGTAAACAGATAGGTACAAAAAAAAAAATTCAATCTATTCAATATATTATAAATACCTACCTCATCATTGTTTTCATGATCTTCGAGTTTTTTCCGTTTCAAGTTAGCCAAATTTGGTTTTTTCCGTGGTGCACATAGCTTGAGACGCGCTTTTTTACCAAAACGCCAGTCTTCATTCATTTTACAATTTAAAAAAGTAATCACGGACAAGAAAAACAAATTGAACTTAACCGGCTGAATAGTTGAACACAACTAATCATATTTTGTTTTGTAGTAACATAAATTTACTTATTACCATATATTTTATACTTTAGAATTATTATATAATATATTATTTCATTTCCGTAGTCATTAGCTCTAATTGATTTATAATCGTTCGGAATGAGGCTACTATTGTTATGGCTACTAAGATTCTTAGAAATGTTCTAACGCCCATACGCGCATGCACAAGTCAATGAACACGAAGTAAATACTTTTGCTCCTGCTCTAGGACAGCAATTTTATGCAGACAGTACCAAAAGAGAAATGAAAATTCAACTTGTTTTGATCGACTTATATTAATTTTGAAAAGATGATTATATTCGTTAGTCTATTTTCTAGGTTTGCTCGGAAGTAGATATTTTACGATTTTATTTTTAGTTAATATAA